TATTTTTTTTATTAGAATTTTTTAAAGAGGTGTAGATGCTTAAAATTAATTGCTGTAAGTGACTAGATACTCCTTATTAAATTAATTATCATCCTTCAGTTGTTTTGTATATACTTAAACATTGTTTCTAACAAAGAATAGATTTATTATCTTTGTTTTTTTCGATGTTTGAAGTGCCAAAAATTATGTTTTTTTTTTTTTCTGAAGAAAATTGTAATCGTGTTACTGTACTTCGGTTTAACGTAATTATTTGCTTCATACTATACTTCATTATGTACTCAAGTTATCTTGTTTCGTAAATTAAATAAAGTTTGCATCTTATATCACGTATTTTGCTGTAAAATTAGTTTTCTAACTCATGTAAAAGTGGTACTAGTATAATAAATTGCAGCATAACTTCGATTTAACGCCATTTTCTTCGGTGCTATATAAAGGGATGTACTACACTAATTTGCAATGCAGATTCAGTTAGAGATTTACGGGGGAAGCACTGTTTGGAATGTCGCTATATCGAGGTTTTAACTGTATTTTCATGTATATACTGCATTTACTGCACTGTGTATTTGTATATGTATGCTTGTATGTAGTGTTCGCGAGTTATTTCCGTGTTAATGTGAAAGATTCGTGTGTGTTCACACATGTTTAGGACAATCTGTTCGCGTGTTTGAATACCAAACAGGGAAAGTTTATAGGAAAATATGCGTGCTGGCGTTTTCTAGTTTGTCTGTTTGTCTGTTCTGTTCGTTTATCTGAAATGTGTTCGCGTGTATGTTCGTGTTTATCCGCTTTTATGTGTATGTGGGAACTTATCTATGTGTAAACATACTATTATTTTTTTTTCTTGATTGATTGGAACTGTGCAATTAATTAAAATTCCTCGTAAACGTAATTTGACACTACAAAACCGCACTTTGATTTGTTATTTACGAGTGAAGACGTAGAAATAATTAATTTTTATTTATTTCACTGTACAAAATTAGCTTACACCCGTACTTACCCGTACCCGAACTTAGCTTACACCCATTTTTTTTTCTTCTTTGAGCCCATTAATTTTTATTTTTCTGTACTTTTTGGTAATTACTAAACTACTAAAAAGTTAAATTATTAATTATAATTTTTTCGTGTTTAATTAGTGATTTTTTTTTGGGTATACAACAGTCGCCAGTTCTTAATAATTCTTCTTGTGAGTAAGGAGATTACGATGATAATTACTCGAATTTTGGTTGAAATTTCAATTTTTTCTATGGAGAAATATGAAAGAAAAGTGATTTTACTGTATTTCTTCAAAGCAAGAAACATTTTTCTTGTGTCTTATAACAGAAATTTAATCGATCATTACCAAAGGAAATTAGCAATAACAAAGATATAAGAAATCTCATACATTATTATCAAGGAAATATGCTATGTCACCAAGAAATTTACCAGTTTCAAGAAGAATCATCGAGTAAACAAGCCACAGCACCACTCATTATCAAAAAACAATAAGAGAATTTCATCAAGTAGTAAGAGATTTCACATTATTAAAGAAATCATCAATTTTTCCAAAGATTTTTTAATAAAAATTCAATAACTATGATCACCATGTATACAAATTTAAGTGTTCAGAGCATTTTTAGAAAGAACTATTGTTCAAATCTCAATCAAATTAGGTCTCTAGTATGCGGTTTCGATTTTCAGGAATAAATTTTAATTTCGAATTCAGCCGCTAGGGCAAAATTGTCGCTACTATCTCCTAAATGTACGCTTCCTAACGAATTTCGGAAGTTAAGAAACAAAATGTAATCATTTAAATTTATCTACACGTGTTACTTCGTTGATAGAAGAGTTTAACAAGTAATCACAGGATCAGGGAAAGTGAGCACATGTCGAAGAATTCTGCGACTCTTTTTATATATCGAAATTCGTTAGAAAACGTACCTATTAAAGTGGCAGTAGCGCTAAATTCCGCCCTAGTGGCTGAAAATTTTGAAGTAAAAGATTTTTCTCGAAAATTCCAAACCGTAGCATGAATACCAAATTGTTCTTAGTACACAAAGCTCTAAACACTTAATTACGATCACCCCGAGTGTTATAAGATTGACATAAGTAAAACAAACGTAAAATTTCTAGAATTTCCAGCAAAAAAGAAGAAATTCCAAGAGAGCAATGTAGAGGAAATTTCACACAGAATGACCATCAATAGCAGTAGAGTAGATATAATCCAAACTCGATCCATCTAATACAACTCTATTAAATCTGTCGTTTATTTTTTATTATTTTTTTCCGGGGGGAGCTTTATTTTTTTCTTTTTTATTTAAGTGAACACGAAGAATTCTAAGTCATCTGACATATCCTGTCGTTATTTGCTGAGAGAGAGACGTCAGCAGTACCAAACTGCTATTACATGCGGGTAGAATTTACAGTTTATCAGGTCCGTGATTGATGTCCCTATACCCCGATGTCTTGCCGATAACTGATGTTTTATACTAGATTTTGTTAGGAGGAATTTCGCTTAGGACGTGCCTATCGCAATCCTTTGCAACGAAATGACTTCCGATAGCGTAAAGGATAATCTTTCTCATTTGCTGCGCTTAAATCTTTAAATTCGATTACTTCAAATATATATATATTTTTTTGGACATGTTTTTAACCGTCTGAATGGTTTTATAAGCTTTCTTTTTATTTGTAGCGAGTATTTATTGCTTGTAAACTGAGATATGTACTTAATGCAACACTTTAATTTGTCATCTGTACTCGTAATTTTAAATTATAGTCGTGTTTTTTGCACGTTATATTGAAGTTTGATAAGTGGAATTTACTGAGAACTGTTTGAGAAATTATAAAAAATATACCTTATCGCGTTGTTACTTACTTATTAAAGGTTACGATGGGCGAAATGCATAATTTTGCTAGTCGTTACACGCTCGTATCTTTGTTTTTGAAAGGAATTATTATCATGCCACACGTCTGTATGTTTGTCTGTTATGTTTTTGTAGTTGTTTCGCTGATTTTCAGATTAATCAAATTACTTTATGTATTGTTTCAATCTGTTACTTTACTTAATAATTGCAGATATAATCGAGATATAACACGTAACTCTCTTTATCTCCCTACCCCGTTAACTTTTAACCACCAAAAATTAATAGCATCAATACCTAAAGTAAATCGACTAAAGTAATGAAAAACATTTGACACTTGTTTCAGTCTCGAATATATAAAAATTAATGATTTTAATCGAACACTAACTTCGATTTTTTACTTGCAGGTGTCAATTGAATGCCTAATGCACCGTCCACCCCAAAATGGATTCCTTTGGGTCCGACACAGCGAGGGGGACATCCTGGAGGTGGATGTTGCTGGCGATATTGGTTATGCTGTGGCTACCCAGTTTTGCTCAAGAGGAGGAAGAAAATATGGATTTTACCAAACCAGTTTACAACGCTACAATACCGGAGAATTCTGTGGGAAAGACTTACGTCATCGCCAACGAAAAAATGGGCATTTACGTCACGGATCCCACTTTAATCGTTCGTTACAAAATATCGGAAGGAGATGACAAGAGACTTTTCAAAGCAGAAGCTCGTCAAGTGGGAGATTTTTGGTTTCTTCAGATACGCACTCGAACAAGCAATCACGCCGTTCTTAACCGGGAATATCACGATCTGTACGTGTTACAGATACGTGCTAGTATCACTTCGTTGTACAGGAAATCCGTGAAACTGAAAGCGCAAACGGAAGTTTATGTAAAGATTTTAGACACCAATGACTTAAATCCTTTATTTTATCCTACGGAATATGAAGTGAACGTTGCAGAAGATACTCCTCTACATAGGAGTATCTTGCAAGTTAGTGCCTTTGATCCTGATATTGGTATCAATGGAGAGATCTACTATAGTTTGGCACAACCTACTCTCCAATTTTCTGTGCACCCAACAAAAGGAACGTTAACCTTAACTAGACCTCTCGATTATCAAAAGGAATCTTCTCACGTCTTAACAGTTCTGGCTCAAGATCGAGCACCCAAATTTCGAGCTGGTGACATCAAAGCTAGTTCGGCAACTGTGAAAATTAAAGTACTTCCAGTGAACGTTTACAGTCCTGAGATACTCGTTAGGCATTTTCCTAGTATTTTAGGTCATAGCAATGCAGACATTTATGCAATTGTCAAGGTTATCGATAAGGATCGTGGTGTTCACGGACAGATTGATAAACTAGAGATCATCGACGGAGATCCTGATAATCATTTCAGGATAAGTGATGGAAGTAAACCTTACGAATATAATATTATTGCAGAAAGAAATCTGGATTCTCAACAAGAATTTTCATTGACGTTGAGAGCGACTGATCGTGGTTCCCCTCCGAAATCCATAACACAAAATATTAAAGTTCGATTGTCTGATTATAAAGAGAAACCTCCTGTTTTTGAGCAAAGTGACTATGAGGTAAGTTTATTAATTTTTACATAAAATATTTTATTTTAATTACAATATAACATTAACTAGATCCAGCCTTGATCTCTCCTCTAATTACTGCTGGCACTTAAACATTACTTAACTTGTATATTTGACCTGTAGTTGTAACATATAACAAGTCTTTCCCTTCTACCAAATAACGATACACGTGAAAATATGCCTTTATTTACTCTAAAATGATAGAAAAACTCTTATTTAAGCATGTGTAAATCTGTATCAAGATATCATTCGCCTTAACTGATGCCAAATTAACTTTAGTAAAACAAAGATGTTAATTGAATCTTCTTGTTAGGTCGTTGATTTAGTTTTATTACTTCTATTCTGTACAGATGAGGAAACTTAATTAACATTAGCTTGATCAAGAATAGGTATCATCATCATAAATGAAGCATAAGATGTAATTTAAGTATGTTTATATACTTTATATTCTAGATATGAGGTCTGTAAATTTGAGTATATTAATTTTAAAATAATTAAGTTATTCTCAACTATATAGGGTTTGATTTAAACTTATATCCCAAAATTATATGAGGCCCCTTACTGTCTAACAGTAAGTATAACAGAAAGGAGTAAAAATGGTGTAAAAATCCTCTAAAATGAATAAGTAAATTAGCTTATTATATTTTAACACACAAAAT